CAGTGAGGACCCCTCATGGATGACCCCCCCAACCAGGAGGTGGAGGAGGAGTTCTGTCGCCTGCGACTCATCTTGTCTCAGCTCAGAGAGAACACTGTCCCCCAGTCTGGCTGTACCTGAGGCTCCCTGCCCCAGGCAGGTGAGTGGGGAGCTAGGGGGTCCAAGGGCTGCCCAGAGAGGGGGAACCAGAGTCAGCCCCTCAGGGACCCCCTCTCTACATCCTTTTCTCTCCCTCTGTCTTCATCTTTCCGAATCTCCCCAGCCTACCTCCCATCTCTCCATCTGTCAGCTTTTGTTTCTCTGGCCATTTTTTGCTTTCTCCCCACCCACCCCTTTCTCTCCTCCCTTTCCCTGTGTCTCTCTCTCCATCTCTCTCCCGATCTCCCTTTTCTCCTGCATCCCCCCAGGCCTCCTGCAAGATGGAGAGGACGTGAGGACCACCCACCCACTACTGCACAGCTGCCGCAGCGTCTGCAACCCCACGGGCCCAAGGAGAGGGAGCCGGGCTTTCGGGGCCGTGTCTGAGGGGTCCAGCTGGGATCACTGCCTCCCCCAACCTCTCGTTGGCCTTGGCCTTCTGTTTTGGGGACTCAGGGCTTCATCCCCGGGGCACCACCATGATCACCATTTCCCGGGCCATCTCAGTATTGCCTGGGGGGGGGGCACCCCTCCATCTCCCACCCCTAAGTGCCTTTGCTCTGTTGTTTTTATATCCTGGATTGGAGGTTTATTTTTTAATATATATTATCTAAGGAAAGGTCTGTGTTATGAAGATGGGCCCTGGAGTGGTGTCTGGAACCCTCCCTGACTGGCACCCCCTTCCTGGGCCTGTCCCACCACGTCACCTCTGTGCCTCTTGCTCTCTCCACTTGTTCATTCATTCCATGTTTTAATAGCTCTTTCCCAGCACCCCGAAACAGCCCTCCCAGGTCCCACCCGCATACCCCCATGGTCACCCACAATGCTGGGCACCCCACATCCACGCTCCTTTCTGTTCTTTTATTTTTGTAGTAAACTCTGGAGGTGGCTATTGGGAATCGTGGGGAGCTGGTGGGGAGGGGAGCCCTCCTGGGCAGGGGC